GGAAATGCATTGTCTTGAGCGGTGGATTGTTATTAACATCATGATTATGCAACTGACAAACATTTGGCAAGCCATAGAGATTTCACCGGTCAACTATCTAAACATGGGGACGATCCTGAGAAAACCAGGATGGGTGGTAACCCTGAGCCATCCTCATTTTACGACCTCATGCGTCAGTGCCTGCACCACCGCATTCGATTTTCCACCAAGGCTCGAGCGTCCTCCACAAAAGCAACCATTGCGACTGACGTCAGCGTTTACTTTGTACTGTGGCACACGAACTGACCGTTGACTGATGACCAGTGGCAGCACAGGAGTGTGACCGAGCGCGTGCGTGGGGAGCATGAGTGCAACGGTTAGCGCCGCTGCGCTACCAACCCGGCAACCCCAGTTCGATTCCTGCACATGGTAACAATCTGAACCGGTCCTGGGCCTCCCCTAAGTCGACTCAGCCTAAAATACGTCCTTGGTGCGAAGTGTAAACATTGCCACTGGGGAAGAAACAAAGGCGGCCGGGCGTGGTGTTGGCCACCCACCCTGTCGTCGTGTGCAGTGCCGGCCCTCATAGGTGCTCGCTAACGGCACTCACCAAGTCTGTTAAGGCTACACGGGGGATCTTTGTCTTTGTGTGTGCCCACCCAGTACTGCTGCAGACCTGACTGCGTGAACACGTTTGCACAAACAACGGCAGGAAGCACTCTTCAACAAGGGTGTCACGTGACCCGGGAGCTTAAGACGACAAGGCGCTGGCACTGAAACACCGAAATTCTATGCACAATTAGCACCAAGCACAAAAGTGGGACATTTGTGTTTATAGCAATGGTTGTTAAGTGTTGTTAATAAGCCCTTTCAAATAGGAGCTGAGAGGCCATAGGGGAAGAAAAACACAGTTTAAAATAAGAAAAAAAGGAGCGGGGAGAGATGGGGAGAGGAAGGGGGGCATTGTAACAATGTTTTTAAAACTCAGTTTTTATTTTACCAGGTGAGCCCACTGCACTGTATAGCTATTTTTTCATTAGCGACCTGGCCACAAACGATTGCTCAACGCAGTAGCTTATTTTAACACGTAGGCTTTCGTGACCAATATTATTCATAATATAGGTTTTTGGGTCAGATCGCCTTATTTATAAATGTGTCGTAACCCTCCACCACTTGACACGGCCAAACAGTAAAAAATGTGTCACGTTTTTCAAAGGACAAAATAATTCACTTCTTTAGCCCACCGGTGTGCTGAAGAGAGAATCAACAGCATTTTTTAAATTTGAGTAGTACGACGTTTCGCTGATGAAGCTGATTGTAATTATCAGCGAAACGTCGTACTCAAATTTTAAAAATGCTGTTGATTCTTTCTTCAGCACACCGGCAGTAGCTTATCACGTGGAAATGTATAGCAGCTAATACTCTAAACGCACGTTTCTAAATGTGGAGGGAAAACCTGGAGGACCCGGAGAAATAGCCACGCGGCCACGGGGAGAACACGCAAACTCTAAATATACAGGCATCATGGTCGGGATCAAACCCACGACCTCCTGCACACCAGGCGAGGGAGTTAACATCTCGCCACCGTAGCGCCCATTCACTCTGGCCATTGATACACGTCTCAGCCATTATTGAAAATACACCGCAAAGGCGAATAATCAAATCGAGCTGAGAAGATGTCCTCCGTTGAGGATAACTGCCAGTGAAATGTATACTTATACGTCTGAAACGGGTATAAAACTGAAATGGAAGTACTGGGCAGGAACCTTAGCGCAGTGGTTAGCATGTCGCGCTATGAACCTGGCTAGCCGAGTTCGATTCCCAGCCATGGGTAACATCTGTGAGCGAGTGATATCTCAACCGGTCCTCAGCTCTGCCGTGTCACCAACACGCAACGAAGAGGCATGGTGAAGTATTATTAAGCAAACCCCATGACCGGAAGGCATAGGGGAGGCGGTCTTCCTCCAGGAGTGGTTTAATAAATGGATTAACTTTACATGAACGTTCAGCATTTTTTAGAGGCCCACATGTTATTTGTGATGGCTGAGATGCTTGGACTTGCCACTTCCAGTAAACGGGGATACTGTTTAAAACGTATCCACTGGAAAACCCTTACCCTGAATATTCTTGTTCAATATTAAAACACAAGACTATCAGATTTAACCCAATATATGAACTGAAATCACCTCATTAATTTCTTCACAAACGCTGCCTTGCGTACACGGGTATTCCACTGCTGGATGAGGGCCTCCGCATGCTATCCAGACCATGTGTGGTCAGTGCTTATCGGTGAAGGCGGCAAGTACAGACATGGGAGCAATTAAGCACAGTGCGACAATGGATTTTGATACACGGTTCGATGAAGCCCACAATATCTCCCTGCAACACCGCCTTATTACAACTAATATCATATAATAGGTATATATAAATAGGTGAACAATTTTGGTCTTGACCTTTACCGAGGGAGGAGAAAAAAGGCCATTGTCCCAAATGTTGGCTGCACTTAACTTTTCTGCTACAAAGGCAGTCGGGAATGACAACAATGCTAAGGTGTTTTTTTTTCCCTAGGGGTTGAGCGATGCATCAATTAATCAATAAATATAGATCCTTAAAGCTCACAACACGTGTGTTGAATAGCATAGAATAAAAGTAGGTGTTTGTAAATTTGTTTTGTTATGTAATGGGTTTACATCACACCACTGCAGACAGCAGAGCCGCTACCATGGAGCAAAACAAGTAAAATATATATATAACTATATAAAGATTTGTGAATCGCAACGCTGATTTGCAACAAAATCATAATTCCTCGAGGGAGTGAATCTTTCCACTGATAGTGTTTTTAATGTCCTTGTACACCACCACCAATGCAGTTCCCTGTTTTCAGTAAAAACATTTACATAAAGACAATACAAACAAACACAGTAAACGTGGTAAAGTTTTCCATCTAAGTAAATGGCGTCTCGTGTTCTCTATACCGTGGGCTCTCGCTGGGAAACACACATCGCTTCCGGCCCGGTCATCAACCCACTTGCTGTACTGCTATTTAACGGACACTCTGTAAACCCTGCAGTAGTTTGGCATCTCATCTCTGTGCGAGCCAAAACCCCCCGCCGCCTCCGATTTGCCGGATTACAAGCACTCGCACCACCAATACTGGAGAAAATAAAAAAGTACAGAGCAGTTTTGCTACAAAATGAACCTGCATGCCTCTGGCACCAAAGCCTTGAAGGGCGCCACGTTTTCGTAAAACGGCCAATAGGAATTCTCTGACAAGGCAAATCTGTTTCACGTACGAGGGTCACACACAGAATGCATGTATTAAAATCTATTTTCACAACATCTTACCAGCGGACACTTATGCAGCTGACAAAGCGTCGTGAGGCCAAGCTACTGCCGCCACTTCTCTGCCGTGGGGATGTATGTATGTAGAACTTATTTTGCACCGTACGTAGCCAACCGTGCGGGGAAAGGACAACAAACTAAACACAAGAAGCAGTTCTTCAGAAATTCGTTTTCAAATTAGATTTAAAAAGTGCATTGCTCAAGTGGCTTCCTAATATCGGAAAGGCAGAGCATTCCAGATGGCCGCAGAAGCGCAGTTGAAAGCGCGCGATGCAGTGACCGTCATTGTTCGATAGCTCGCCAAAAGCCGCCGCGAGGATGACTCGAGTTCGCGTGATGGCTTATGCTCCTTGACGACATCAGCAAGGTGTTGTGGTTAATTTGTGGCAAGCGCTTTGCGTGCAACGAGCGCGACCTATCAATGTATTCGTTTGGGTAAACCAGAAGCCAATCCAGCTTGGCGAGCGCTGGATGGACACGGTCGGATCTTGCAGCAGTACCCAGTCACGACACGTGCCAAAGAATTTTGCACACGCTGCAGCTGTGATTATGGTTAGCACACCACAATCCAGTGGTCGCCAGTTTGATCTCTTGGTGTGGCACTTGAAACAACGCGCACGTTTCCTAAATGCAACCACCCCCCACCGCATCCTGCTTCTGTCCACCCAGCAGTATAAACAGTTGCACGAGCTCAACGATCGGTAGGCCGCACGTGCTGGGGCAACGTGTGCGTATTCCCACCTATTTGAAAGTATCTGACCAGCATGGAATAGTAAGTAAAATACCGCTTGGAGAGGCTCTGTAGAGTGCCCTCTAGTGAAAGCCCTTCCGCCAGCAGTGGCGTGAGCACGCAATTGCAGGGATGTACCTTTACCGTCACTTGTCCATGCAATTTCCAGCACTGTAACATCACAACAGAACTCCAGTTTGCCAGTTCACGTTGGTTAGAGTTACTGCTCTTCCAACTCCAATGCTACTAGACTCATCCGCAATGTTCCTCTGTCTTCAAATCACTGAACCAATTGTCTGACATGGCCTCAACATATGCAGGTGACCCCCTACAAACAAGAGCACGCAGCCTGAACACAAGTCTCTCACTATAAATTCGACCACAGCTTGACGCTTGAAAGACATGTCCCTCTTTAGCCATTTTGTTTACGACAACTGCAGCGCTAACCATGCGGCTTACAAGCGACGCGACACGGGGGCTTGCTGTAGAGCAACCGATCAAGGATCACGCTTGCTCGGTGTAATGTCAACGTAACGAATAATTCTCCCTTGGACGCCTGCAATGGTGACCGCAAACGACGAACGTGCGCCGCAGAGGCGGTTTTACGCCACACGGATGAGTCTCGTTGTAGACGCAGTGGTTACTGTAAGACGCGAGCCATAAGAATGTGGAATTTCCTGAGATAAGCATCGCCCATAGGCTCGTTTGAACAGCGGCACGACTTTGACCATCGCTCGAAGCACCGTTCTCCTGCCGCTAAAACCAAACGGTTTAATCCAAACGACGCTTTCCCTTCGGTGTAAACGGAGATGAGCATGGCCGCGTGGCCGTCTTGAGCGGGGAGTAACACTCTGGAATAACATAAACACACAATTGACAGTGGAGCAGAGCAGCGGCTGCCCGAGAGCGGAGCGGCACGAGGCGAGAGCGAGGCGGGTGCGCGCGTTACCTTGCTCGTGCCTCTTGATCTGGCGGATCTGGTTGACCGTCTCGCGCAGCACGGCGCACTTGTCGGGCTTCACGTTGAGGCTGTCGATGTCACTGATGTTGGCCGAGATCAGCTCGGCCAGCTCCTCGATGTACTTGTTCTCTTGTTCGCGCCATTGCCGCTCCGGCGTGCACTTCACACTGGAGGGAGGAAGGAGGGTGGGGTGGGTGAGTGGGAGAAACATGATGATATACACACACACGTTTACACCCCTTCTTTACTGGCACATACGAGTCCAGCCAAGCACTGAGCCTGGTACGGGTGGTTTCCGGTTGACCACATGCCGTGCCAGAACCAAAACGTGCTACGCTGGCCTCACAAGATATCCGAGCCTGGCTCGGGGACACGGGCTCAAGGATGGGGACTAACGACACGCTCACTGCGTGTGACATCGATCAGTACGCCGAGGACACAGCGTCACTGCGTCAACTACACGTGTCTCTATGCGTTCATTGGTGAATCCTGACCCGCGCCGACTGATTTGGCACGGTCCCGGCACGGCTTACACGTGCCAGGGGGCGGTGGAGCGGGTGGGAAGAGGAATACAAGCAGGACGACAAGACGGTGGCAATGTCACACGATGCAGATGCTGAAGTACGGAGCCGCAAGCTCGCCACAATGAGTCTCGATACAGCTGTGTGGACGACATTGTATTTTATGAGTAATACACTCGATGGTGGGGTGCAGCTGTGGCACGCGGTGGTTAGCTGACGGAGCCAATCACGCAAGGGATATCCGAGCTGGTTTGAGGCAAGCCCCTTCACCAAGCCGCGCTGGCCAGTGTGGTGAAGTATGGTCAAAGTGAGCCTGTGACCAACACTGATTGGGGGAAGCCTTTGTAGATGGGACAAAAACCGTTGTTAATTATTCTCCTTTGATTGGATGCTGGTGCCAAGCTAGAATGCTCAATTCACTCAGAAATGTGTGAATTCACATGCTGGCCCATTGTCCCTTCTAGTTCTATACACGATGCACCACTTTGTTGGAAGTCGCCAGCAGTTGACCTTTGGATAAACTGGCAAATTCTACCATCGTATTGCGGAATTCCCATCACTGGCTCAGGGTGGCCGCACACTGCTCCATACTTGTTTGTGCATGGAGACACTCGACTCGTTTTGTTTTGATGTGTTTTTCACATGATCGGCCAAACAAAAAGAACACTAAATAGTTTTCAGTATTAGCATCCGAGACCCGCTCCATTTACTGGCTGGCTAGAACAACCGCACGCGCACACACACAGAATCTCCTCCCATATATATTATATTAAATGCCCATTAACATTTACAAATACAAATTACCGTACAGTCGGAATAAACACAACTGAAATTGAAATAGTTTCAGTAAAGTAAGAAATAATTTAATGCTAGCAAGTCGCCGCTTCTGCAAGGAATTTTTTTTCTTCTTTCCAACTGCAACCTTTCAACGACGAAAAAAAACAACACGAAAAAACACAGGCGCACGTGTTGTTTTTTTTTCTTCTAATTTCTAATAAGAAACAGAAACCCTCCAGTTATCGTTGCCGCAATGTCTACCCGCTGCTGCCGCTGCTGGCTTCCGTGTAAACGCAGTGCGGCAGAATGTGTGGGACGATGACTTTGCTAAATTCCTTGAATGTATTCAAATTTGTTTATTTTTATCAATGGCCACCCGTACCAACTAATGCAGACAACAAAAATGGCCTGTGATTAGCTGCAAATGAGAAAAAAACCCAGAGCAATCGACAACAAAAAAATACTCGATCCATTCGTTGTTGTATCTGCAGAGGCAATCTGAAGCCGGTGTGTGTTCAGGCTACCTGGTGCGCAGCAGAGGGGAGAGCAACAAAACAAATTGCTGTATTGTACTTCTACGCCGCCGACTCTAGCGCTCCCCCCCCCCCCCCCCCGCTTTCACCGAGCAGCATTTGACCACGGAAGCGTGGTCAAATAACTCGGGCGACCCACACGGCATGGGGAAGGCCCTCATCCAGCAGTGGACTGACAAAATGGCTGCTGTGTGTGCACATACCTGGGCCCGATTGGCTCGGAGCCGGAGAGCTTGCGCTTGCGGGACTCGGCAGGGCCAGGCTCGGCCGCCCCCTCCCCGACACCGCTCATGATGCCTCGCTCACCTCCTGCGATCACAAAGACACAGACAGATCCCCCCCCCCCATGTAACCATTGATAAGGACTTTTGGGGCGCGTGCTTTTCGTGAGCACACACGGACGCAAGCAAGGTGCTGAAGGCGGTGGTTGTACGGCCAGCGCGGAAGCCATCCGCCTTTGTCTCCCCCGGTGCCAATGCCATGACGGTGAAATATTTATTACCAAGTCAACCCAAAAGGAGGCCGATTGCCAGTTCTAATATTGCTCCCGCCACTGAAGTCAGCCGTAATGAGGAATCAAACTCAGATGGCAGCGTTGGTAGCGCAGTGCAACACGCACTCTCGTACCACACGTACACAAAAGCACCGTTAAGGTTAAACACTTTTACTTAGAGCCGCTTATGTGCAAGATTATACTTGCAAGACCAGGAGTCCAGAATACTGTAGCAATTTTTTTAAAAGTTGTGCCTGATCACAATCCACTCCTCATAAGCCCTCAACAATGTACACGTGCCTCCCCCTTCGTTACTCAGCAACTTGCAATGCGGTCGCACACCTCCGATTGGCATGGCTGGCTACGTACGGTGCGAAAGAAGTTTAACATACACATATGTTTTATGAATCCGAACTTCACTTCAATGTACCATTCTATGAATCAAGATTCGTATTTATCCATTCACAGTCGTGTGATTCGTACACAAAACATTTCCCGCGTATTTTCTCGGAGATCAAAATGTCAATGGGTTTTCACCGAGTCCACCAAGGCCCGCTTGCACAGGACGCAAGGAAGAAGGCGGTAGCGGTCACCTTGGCTGCCTCTTATCTCGGTCCAGTTAGACACAGAGCCAAGCAAACTATTATTAAATCTGATGATAGCCATGCAACGGGAGTTACCGACCATCATAATAATTATCGATCTTAAAGGATGCATTTAGCAATCAGAGATACCTACTGAAACGTTGCATTCGTCTGCGTTGTATGTAGAATGTGCAAAAAACGAGTGAACTCTGACGTGTCAAACCTACGCAAGCTACTCAGAATCATCACACTTCAGTCATGATCTATACACTACTGGATGAAAACTTTCCCAAGCCATCACCGTCTCGCATTTATTTACAAGGCAAGAATCTGACAGGCACCTGCGTACGAGATTATTTAATGGCTTTATCTTTGCGGTCTGTTCTCTCATCTTGGCTGCAACTCCATCGATAGTCTCCATTGTACAACAGAATCAGAATCTTCTTCTTGGTTCTTTCGGTAAAGTCACGTAGAAAGAACCAAGAGGATGAATCCCTGCAGTCACGAAAGCTTTAAATCGAAATAGAATCAGAATCTATTTAGACTGGAGGAATCCGATGAGCTACGAAGCCCTTTCACAGATGTCCAACCCATTTAAAGAGAATACAAAAATATACCCATACACAGCAAGATACAAATGCTACCTCTACATTTCCATAATTACCCTCATCAACCATGTATGATGGCTTGTATTCATTCCAGCACTACTAATCACCACTTTGTGGTCTATTGTTTGCAAACAGCACTGTGGCTAATTGAGAATAAATGAGGGCTTGTCGCTTCTTATTGATACAACTCATCTGTTCAAGGCCCAAACAATGCAAGGATGATGTTTGCTACTGAATACTGTATCCTGAATGGCAGATATCGTGGTCTGGCAATCTTCGTGGCAAAGTGCATATTAGTCTCGACTGATGAATATCATTATAATAGTATTATATATTTCTTCGTTGCTATTCTCGCAAAATAACATTTGATCCGTCGGTGTCATGGCATGAGACAGAAGTATCCTTTTGATTCTCTAGCAGAGCAGCGCAACACTTCGTGTTAGACAATGGTCCATGTAAGCAGATATCAGAGCTCTGATCTCTGCAAATGGTTCTGCATACACAAGTGAGGTTCGTTGCATGAGTCTTTATCTCAGAGCTGTAACAGAACCAAATTTCATGCAATGTTATCTTGGCAGTCATCGGTGACCAGGTTGAGACCATTATAACTCGCCACGCTTGAGGAACCAGGCAGCAGCCTGGATTCAAACCTCGCATCTCAGCAGTTACCAGCTCATTCCTCTGACCCCTGGATTCAAACCTCGCATCTCAGCAGTTACCAGCTCATTCCTCTGACCCCTGGATTCAAACCGAGCATCTCAGCAGTTTCCAGCTCATTCCTCTGACCCCTGGATTCAAACCGAGCATCTCAGCAGTTTCCAGCTCATTCCTCTGACCCCTGGATTCAAACTGAGCATCTCAGCAGTTTCCAGCTCATTCCTCTCACCCCTGAATTCAAACCTCGCATCTCAGCAGTTTCCAACTCATTCCTCTGACCCCTGGATTCAAACCTCGCATCTCAGCAGTTACCAGCTCAGTCCTCTGACCCCTGGATTCAAACCTCGCATCTCAGCAGTTCCCAGCTCATTCCTCTACCCCTGGATATAAACCTAGCATCTCAGCAGTTTCCAGCTCAGCCTTCTGACCCCTAGATTCAAACCTAGCATCTCAGCAGTTACCAGCTCAGCCCTCTGACCCCTGGATTCAAACCTAGCATCTCAGCAGTTGCCAACTCAGCCCTCTGACCTCTGAGCCACCGGGCCACCTCTCGTCCGAACATTACAATTGAGACCTTATTGCCGTACAAATCTTTAGGCCAAACACCGTTTAAATTCATATTATTGTTTGCTAGAGAAGAAATGCACGAGCAGTAAGTCAGAATGCGCAAAGTTCATCCGGCATCACATCCCGTGGCAATCTGAGCACAGCCAAACTGCTCTTCTCTTGGAAGCTCGGCTGGAAAAGCGGACTGCGCTATCTTCCTCGATTGTCCCCACCTCGTGCACAAACTCGGCGACACTGCAATCGACGCCTCCGTCGAGGGGCGACCTCGACGAGCTGCAGCCGCTGGCTCGAGGGCGAGGCCCCGCCGCCGCGAGGTTCACAGCAGCAGCGGTCCGAATGCTTCGCCACGTTCACAGCCGCACACCAAATAAAACCCGCAGTCGCACACAACTCGAAGCAACGATATGGACGTAACTTGCATCGATGTGTTTTAGTCCTCGGTTGAACATGCCAGGTACAGCAGTGTTCTTTGCAGGTAGATGTAGAGAATGTAAGCATTGCAACAGAGTGCGAGGAAACACCAACTTTCAGTGCCGTACGTAATTGTCGTGAGTAATTGCACGAATCAAAAACACACATCACCGCCGCTGTCATTAACTTGTCAGACAATGTGTTCCATATCCAGCTACGGTTTGGGTAATGGCCCTACTTCACAGCAGCAGGGAAGTGTAGGTGTGCATTCACCCATTGTTTAGCATCCAAATGCATTACGTATATGTATGCCTGCAATGGTGTGCTGCTTGATTCTATTACAAATGAGAGCTTTACCACACACGTATATAATTCAAAAATTTAGTGCCTTTGGTAGTGCCCTATGAAAGACATGTAAATCATATTCCAGTCCTGCCAGCTGCAGGAACATGGCCAGCACAACCGTACAAATCAAAATGTGAACGGTCTGAATTTCATACCTCCCAGTTAACACATGAAATACAGGACCCCCTCCTCCTGTGTTCTCTGGCATGGAGAGGACATCGATGGCTGAGTTATAAGAAATCAAATCACGTGCTTAAAATCCAGAATCGGGCGTAAAAATGTGGCGTGGGAGTTGTAGCGTAGTTATTCAACGTCAACATCCCAGATGGTGGCATTCTAGCAAAAGGATTCCACAGTTCACTGCCAACAATTCGACATCACCGCTACCACCAACAACCCTAGCCCCCAAACTGATCTTACTCATTATCATTTACTACTATAATGAGCCAAGAATGTCTGTGTGTCCCACGCGTGACGTCACTCCACGTCGGCCAGCCCCCCTCATTAATAATCATGAACAGGTAAAGTCCTCCACATGGACACCCCTCCATTAATAATAATTAGCGGGTGACGTCACTCCACATGGGGGAGCCTCTTCCTCCCTCCTCAGCGTCAACTTACAAACCCTCACGACAAAGGCAGAACCCTCACGTCACGCGATCTCCGTAACGCTATTGAGACGTAGAAGTAAAAAGGACGTCGTGATGAACAAGGGATTATAACCTTTAAATTAAATAACTCTGTCACCGCGGCCTTACAAATTGATACAATGAATATCACGTCGCGGTCTGCTTTTCGGTTGCAAGTTTCAGATTTACTACTGCAATACACCCGTCCTTGGACGGGCAAAAGGCTAGTTCTGATATAGCACTTATAGCACTCTAACTGTACGACTGAGAACAGCACACGGTTAACATTAATGTGAGCAATATCTCTTTCATTGCATTAATTTCCTTTGTAAATTCCACCATTACCAACCAGCTTGTGCCGGACACCTGTAAATAAAATAACTAACGTGTCTTTACTATCCAGGTAGTTTAACACGAAGCAGGTTTCCTCAAGATCGTAGCATTTGTAACCTGATAAAAATTAATTGCTGTGACTGTTTGGATGCCGCAGTTCATTGGATGATTGTTTTGATTCGAAAGAAAGAGGCTTATACGGGTCATCTATAAATGTATAATTCACGCATTATTAAATAATTATAATCTGACAGCAATTTCATCTACGTAGTTAAAATGTTCGTAACATATTTCGCATGTGCTTATGTTTTTTTTTTAAATCGAACAACCCGAGCGATCTGCAAGATCACACGGCAGTAATATTCAAAATGAACGCAGCCGAGATGCTGACAAAACACACAGCACTCTCTCGACTCTCAATGCGGCCCGCGTCACCAACGCCATGGGGTGTGCAGGAAGAGGTTAAGCGATGAAAAACTTGTTCGCTAAAATCTTCATGCAACCAAGTGCATGTGGAAATATATACAGTTTTATTGACGCAACTGCTAAGTATCATTCTTTAATAATGCACGATACCTTTATAGACTGGCTGCTTTCTGAATGACACGACGGGGTCACTGTGAATGGATATGTGCACATACTGTACCTATCAAACATCGATGCACATTTACAGCACTTAACG